CCCCAAAACCCCAAAACCCCAAAACCCCAAAACCCCAAAACCCCTCGAATAAAAATTTTTATAGAAAAATAATTTAATATGAATAAGAAGAACGAAAGCTACATAAAAATAGCAAAATCATACCTAGCAACTACTCGGTCTCATCGTGAACGGCTCGAACGGGAGGCCAATAAGGCTCCTCAGCCTGTTCCTGTTCCTGTCCCAGAAGTTAAAAAAGAAGAAAAGAAGGAGGAGATGACTCTACAGCCCCCATCACTCGCCAAAATCTCTGAGGAATACTCGGCCAGGAAGAACACTACTTACTCCAATAGGAGTCACAAGGAGTACTCCGAAATAATCCCTGATCCAATTCCTTCAGAAGAAAAGCAGGAACGTAAGTACCAAAAATCCTAATTTCTTTCCATTTTCTAATGAATTTCTGGAAATCCTTAAATTCCTAAAATGTAGGTACCATCTTCAAGCACGGGCCTGACTCGAAGGACTTCAAGTTCCTTCAGGAATTCCCTGAAATATTCGGCAGCCTAGTGGACGACCTCAAAGTAAAAATTGATAGCAATGCTAAATAAACATGTAAATATTCTCATGGACAGGTTCAAAGGTGAACTCTACAACGTTAAGAAATAAATATGCTGAGCTTGAAATGTCCCGGAACGAGAACTTCAAGAAAATCAAATTTGATAAAGAGATGATCGACCGTAGAGCTGAGCTCAGTAGTCTCAAGTCAGAGTGCTATAAGCTAGACCAACAGCTCATGATTAAGAACAAACAGCTTAAGAAGTTGAGAAATAGTAATTATGAACTTGCTCAGGAAAAATAAGTTCCTTGATAGTCAGATCGAGAACGCCAAAGCTCAACAAAACAGATTGCTTAGCAACGTAAGTGTACTCAATAAGGAGGAAATACAAGAAATCCGTAACGAAGCCAGGAGAGGTAAGGAATCAACTGTAACTTTTACATAGTTATCGAGGAAAACTCACTAGGAACTGCAGAGATTTTGAAAATGTCCGATACCCATGGAGGAGGTGAAGAAGAAAGCAACAAACTACAGGCTCTGACTTATGAATAATCCTTCTGATTGGTTCCGGATATCAAGGTAGTGTGCCTGAAGTCTTAGCTGAAAGTATCATGTTCAACGTCTCACATATAAAAATGTTTAAATTTTATGCTTTCATAGTATATCAACACTTAAATGCTTGTCTGGGGTTTTGGGGTTTTGGGGTTTTGGGGTTTTGGGGTTTTGGGG